TTGCAAATGCTGCAAAACCCATCAACAGACAAAAGTTACATTCAGTTCCTAGGAACTAATACACATAAAAGGAGACCTTCTACCAAGATAGCAGAAAGCTCAAAGTAAAGGAAGAAGAAAAGGTTGGGGATTCTCAGGCCCATACTGATTGAGACCTCTTCCAAGAAAGACATAATTCCAAACATACCTTCCTTAACAGGGATTTTTCCTAGGTCCACAAATAAATTTCTCTCTCTTGGACAGTGCCATTCACTTTGGAGAGACTGTCTGGTGGGCAGCTGTGTCCTGCTAGTTTTTTACTATTAGGGAGTATTCTCCTTGCATAGAGTATGTGATAAGAACATACCTGCACGGTAAGGTAGATTCAACCAAAACCAGCAGCAGAAAACTTCCTGGAAAAGATATTCTTTCCAAGTGCTTTTTACTGTCTTAGTAATTATACTAGTTGAGGAATTAACATAACATTGGTGAAGTGTTATCTCAAGAAACACATGTACTTTGGCACTTGTGCTGTGTTTGTCGAGGGCATTGCTGAAAGCCCTCAAAACCTGCCATAGTGTCAATCTCTGCTTCAGTCATGCTCCACTTCTCTGGAGTGGAAACTCCATCAAAGGCTTAAATCAAAGAGCTGAGTATATGATAATCACCAGGTGAAAACTAATCATGTTTGGGAGTCTAAAACATCTCCTTTCTTTTCCAAGACATCTTTTGCTTAATTCTGACCAGCCATCAGAGAACAGAAAAATATATATGGTCTGACTTGTCAACCAGTCAATCCTCCATGAAAAAAGTCTCTTCTATAATCTTTTCCTTTCCATACACCCCAAATACTAGAAAACACAGGCTTCCCCATGATATTTGATTGGTTGGGTTCCGTAACAGCTGGTGGTGTGGAAATAATGTTTCATAATATTCTAACACAAATTAATAGTTTTAGCCAATCCCCTTTATTAAATATGCTTGTTTTCTTCATGTCAATGACATTAATTTATATAGAAAATGTAATAAGACAGGAAAAGGTATTTCCTAGTAAGATGTTAAAAAGCTGATAGAAAAGTAGAATAATGTAGTATGTTCATTTTTAATTACATTCTGTATGTGGTCATTTCAGGCATTCTGGAAATAGAGGAATTATTCAATATATAACTTTGGCAAATATACTTACAAATATACTCCAGAGACACTATCAGAAATTTATACTACAGAATAAAAGCCATCAGTTAAAAGGAAGGCACTAGATATTAATCCTTGTGGTGAAAGAGCTATTTCAAAAAGTGAATTCAGCCCCATCCTCTTCAGTATGTACCTACTAAAATTCAATATAGTCATCTTGAACCTGTACAATGTCTGAAACAACAGTTCAGAAAAGGGTAAAAATATACATTTCGTATTGAAAGAAAGGTTCACTCTGAAAATCAGGTATAATAATTAGACATTAATACTCAACAACTATGTCCATGTTCAACCCTGGAACAAGTCTGTGCTCTCTCAGAGAAGTCAGACTCATTGCAGAGGCTGCAGGAGGTGATAGGTCTTCATCGCCAGCACAGCAGGACATAATAAAGCTCCACAATTAAGCATTTTCCTGCTTTTCTTTATTTTAGTAGTTTCTTTATGGTGGCATAAGCACTGAAATTGGTGTTCTCAACATTTTTTATACATAGGTTGTTTTAAGCTTAGGATTTCCCTGTGCTAAAAGCAACAAGCTCTGTTCACCAAGGCTCCTGCTTAGCTGCCACAGGCTGCAGAAGTGAGAGACCACGGTTTTGCAAAGCCCAGCACCTCACTCTGAGGTTGGAGTTTGCTTCTCAGGAATCCCTCCAGAGACTTCTATGGTGTTTCCAGGGGAGAATTACCCCCTATTTTACTTATATGCAAGTTTGAAGGCCCTTTTACCACCCTTCTGCAAGTGAACTTGTATCCAAAAACCTAGTTTGTGCTATCTTATCTCTGTTGAACCCCACAGCTCCTCAGAGAGGCCCCTGTAAACAGAAGCATCAGGAAGGGGGACTGCAAGCTCAGCCTCATCTCATAGCCTGGCTGAGGCAACTGCAGGGGCCAGTGCCTCCCCAGGGCCTGGGGGCAGAAAGAGTCAAAAGCATGTTAAGGAAATTGAACTTAGGTCTTGTTGAGACTTTGAAGGAAACACTTCCAGAAAGGAGGGCAAGGGAGAAGTCACAAATCTACGTACACTGGCTGGCCTGTGCAGCCATGCCCACAAGGTAAAAGCTGCCTGATTTCATCCATGCCATGATGGCAGCCGAGAGACACCCACAGCCCTCCCACCATTGCATCAGCCCAGTGACACCCACAGCCCTCCTGCCATCCCCCCAGCCCAATGACACCCACAGACTGCCAGCCTCTCAGTCCAGTGACACCCACAGCCTGCCAGCCTCTCAGTCCAGTGACACCCTCAGCCCACCCGCCATCACCTCAGTCCAGTGACACTCACAGCCCACCCTCCATCCCCTCAGCCCAATGACATTGACAGCCCACCCGCCATCCCCTCAGCCCAATGACACCCTCAGCCCACCTTCCATCGCCTCAGCCCAGTGACACCCTCAGCCCACCCTCCATCCCCTCAGACAAGAGGCACCCACAGCCTGCCCGCCATCACCTCCATTGCCTCAGCCCAGTGACACCCACAGCCTGCCTGCCATCTCCGCAGCCCCTCAGGAATGCCCTCCCCATAGCCCTTCATACCAACAGCCTCGCCTGCTGGGGGCATCCAGACCGTCGTGTCAGAGAGCGGGAAAGTGCAGCCCTATGGCTGCGGGGCAGGAGCCCCAGAGCCTGCCCCCTTGCCCAGGCCACTGGAACCTGCAAAGCCAGAGAATTCCCGCCACTCTTCGAGTGCCCGAGGGTACAAACAGCCCGTGAGGTTACTGTAAAAGAGGTGCTCTGCTCAAATACACAGGAGATCCTGTTAGAAACATCTCAACTTCAAATGAACACAAATGGAGGGGGAAAAAAGAGTGTGTAAAAATGGGAACCGAAAAAGTGAGGAGTGCTTCTCTCCAGCCAGTGGGCTCCTTCTGTCTGTGGAAGCAGTAAGGAGACATCAGGAGGAAAATAGCTCTATCTAAGATGAACAGCTGCACTTACACTGTGGTGTTGTTGCTGGTAAAGCCTGTGTGGTGCTGCAGGAAACAGTGGCAAGAAAGGGGAATTGAAAGCCTTGGAGGAGCTCTGGGAAGCTTTCTCCACAGGCTGGCAGCCGGCCAGCTGTTGGCTCAGCCTTGCACAACCACTTCCTGTGGTCAAAAACACCCAGAAAGGGAAACAGGTGGTGGACAGAGGTTGTGTGGACATGGAGGTGTGAGGGCATTGGATGAGGCAGGGACCTGGGACACCTCCCCTTCTCCATGGACCCGTGGGATGCCTCAGTCCATGCCTACACTCAGTCTTCCCTGCTGGCACTGAGCCATCCCTCAGAGCATCCTCCCTTGTGGGCTATCAGAGCCCAAGGCAATGGCCAGTCTTTCTTACTGACATTCCCATCTCCCTAAATATGTTTTTGCCACAGAGACCGTCTCCTTCATTCATCTCTTATCCCAGGAGACACAACTTTGTGGGGCTCCAGCTCCTGCTTGTTAACTCAAGCCAAAAGGAATAACTATAAACTAAGAATAAATACTAATTAACCTGAATCTTTCATCGTATCGTGATCTGAACCAGATGCTATATCTATCTTTAACTTTAGGCTGCATTGAGATGCAACCTCTATCCACAGCAGACAAAAATAAGATTCCTTCTTTTGATAAAGTTAATTGTGGGCCTCAACAAGACACATTTCTTGGCAATACCGTGATCTTATCTTTAAATGCTGTGAACTCACAAGGGTTTGAAAGGTCTTACATTTTGAGCACCTCCCATACAAGTTTTCTGATAGAGGAGAATTTAATCCAGGAACTTTCCCACGTTGTGCTGGAAAAAGAGGTGCAACGAGGACAGCTTTCACAGTGCATGCAAAGGTTGAAGAGAGGCTTTCCCATAAAACCCAGCCAAAGTTGTACGAGTTCACAGCTGAGATTTAGTCCCCCAACCCAGGGAACAGTGGGGTGGAAGCTATACAGTATCCCCTGTTGAGCTGATTGAAATCAGTAGTGCTTTATATTGGTTTTAGTATCAGAGAGAGAATAACAGAGCAGGGCTAAACCCAAAGATTTATTTCCCTAAGTGTATCAACATTTTCAAAGCTGCTTCGATTTTTTTTCATTTGTTGGAAGTAGCTCCAATATTTTCTAAATTACTAAAAACCACTGTTGAAAGCTCCTGTAACAAAACTGTGTTTTTCATTATGACTGTTGGTAATTCTGCAGACAACATACATATAGAGAGGAAACTATACAAACCAGACTTACTGTAAAAGCCAAGACCTTTCATAGATGCAGCTGTGTTCTCTTGCAGAAAAAAATAGGTTATTATTTGGGGGAAAATATTTTTGGACTTCAAAAAACAGTGACAGGGATACCAAGCAACTCTTTGGCAACAGCTATGCAAAGCTAAACTCTGCCCAGTTCCACCTCTCAGGCACCTTCTGTGCAACAGTCTCACATCAGCTAGGTTGGTAGCCAGGATTAGCAATTTAATCTTTTCACACCATTTCAGTGTGGACACGTAAGTTTTAATAAGCCTGCGGATGAAGTAAAAAATTAAGCCTCTACCATTTTAAAGTTGCATAAACATGTTTAAGTGGTTTAACAGTGTGGTTTGTTTATACAGCATGAATGTCATAGTATATAGCAGCACAGCAAGCTCAAAGATGTGTCCAGCAGAGCCAGCTATCCAGGTGCTGGCACGCCTTTCCATCCCCAGATGATGCTCCCTCAGTCTGTAGGACAGGCACCTCACTTGTGAGGCCAGGACATTACCCACCCCCTCGTTACATAGGCATGTGAAGAACTGCTTATGTGTCAGTGCAACCGGTTAGCAACTGGGTCCTCTGAAACAGAGACACCTTGCTTTCCTAGAAGACAGACAAGAAGACAGCCCTCAAATTTATGCTGGAGGAACGAATGGCATCTCCATCCTCCAGGAGGGCTGAAATAGTCAAAAACATTGAGGATGAAATACTGTTCTACCTTCTTGGTGAGCCCAACCACCACCGACCTCCTCTCTGTGTCTTGCAAGTGGCTGTGTTTCCTAAGGTAGTAAGGCACTAGTGAGCAGTGAGAACAATACAAGATAATCAGAAGTTACCTCTTTCTTACCAAAATTGATGGGAATTACATAACCAATGTGTTTTTGAGAACCTTGGTAAATTTAATGCCCAAATTGCTCTTCAGTCCTTCCATTTAGGGTAGAGGCTGGCTGTAAATCAGCAAAGGTACCTAGTCGAGTTGAAACACTGGCCAGAGTTTAAGCTACCTGAAAAGAGTCCCAGGTGCTCGTGTGTATTTAGGCACGTAAAACAACCTTTAAAAGTCCAGTCAAAATTTCTGTCCTTGAACTGAACGTTCATATTCTTAGATGAGTCCCATAACCAAAACTGCCATCATAACAAATGCACAGGCATCTCCTTTCCTGGACGTGGGTGGTTTTGATGCCTGCACTGGTTATAAGAAGCAATGGACTAAGGGAGTACAAAAAGATGAAATTTAGGAAGATGAGTAATGTATGCAGTGTGGAGGCAGTGAGAGATGATCCACTTATTATGTGCTTTTATTTAATAATTTATAAATAAGTATCAGCCTTCCCCAAACTGCCCCTCAACCCAGCAATTACATGCTGGCTGTTTTCTTGTTAGTACTATTCTTTTATAATAACAAACTGTTCCCAAAGCCTCACATACAGAGAGTTAGACAATCAAAGTACTGTGTGCAATTTTCCACTTAATTCATTCAGTTAGCTGCAATTAAAACAATACAGTTCAAAGCCTTGTGTGTTTCTCTTAAAAAATACAAAACTTTACTTGTTTCTATTAATATATACAACCTACAAGAAAGAGTTAACAAAGCCCCTTTGTCTCCACTGTTGTAGTAATTTTCTTGTCCTTTTCTGTAGATGCTCTGGCAGTCATCAATATTTCTTCAAAAGACACACACTTTTCATTCAACTGCAGAGAAAGGAAAGGAATCCAGTGGGTCAAATTCCCTTGGTGTTCAGATCCACTGCAGCTGCCCAGGAAGGAATCTAGGTGAAGGTGTGGGGCTTGCATTAAGGAGAGGATCAAAACTATTTAGAAGGGAAGAAGCACCATTTTATCAGGCAGTAATCAAATTTCCATCCAGATTTTACCTAGATATTTTACCTAAATATTTCATATTTCCAGAAAAGCAGTGTCTTCATGGCTACTGATCCCTGCTTACTCACTTCATATAAATGACACACCAAGTTTCAGCATCACTATAGAGCCTTTCCTTTTTCGTTTTATGAGGCTTCACTAGTGCAACCTGATGAGAGTCTAATTAATATTATACCAGTTTTGCAGGTTCAAAAGAGAACAGCTCTACCTTGCTCCACAAGAAAGCAATAAGCCATCCTATTAGAGCATCTGTGACTGTCTCCCATACCACCAAGTTCCCTCAAAACAGGGCATATTTCCATCAGCCATGAACACAGAGCATAGAGTGCTCAGGGAGCAGCAACATCCCTGCTGTCTGAGGATGCCCTGTGTTTGTCCGAGCCTCACAAGGTTTCCAGAGCTTCTGTGAGCAGTAGCTCAACACTATTCCAAGTAGAAGACTATGTTCCTGGTGTGCTACTGTTTGGTATGTTAATTCAGTATTTCAGCCCTAGTTGTTGACAGAGGCTTTGATTCAGCCTACTCCTGCAACAGAAAAACAAATCACTGATTTGGATCTGTAGTCTTAACTATTATCTCACCAACATAAATGAGCATTTTATTTAAGCTCTATTTCTCAAGAAAGAACTATTGTCTGCTTTGATAAGATGGTATGAAATTTATCCAAACATTTATCAAACTATGTGAAATCTCATTCAAAGAATATATTCTGAGATCTTGAGAATAAAGCCCCTCAGGAAAAAGTAACACCAAAACATGTGTAAGAGCAGAGACTCCCAAAGTCTAGTCCAAAGGGAATTCACAGCTCATCTGGTGCTTACCTTTACTGTTTTCTTCCAGTACACAACAGCACAAAAAGGACAGGGCAAAGTAAGGAACAAAAACCGGCTTTTATTTTTTTTACATAAAGGCCAAACCCAGCTCCAAGAAACACTTTCCAGTATTTTCCTTCCTTATAGTTACTGCAGTTCTACAGAGATGTTACACAGTGATGAATGACAAGGGAAGCACTTCACCAAATAAGGTACCTATTCCAAAATTATTTTTATTAAAAGAAATGCTAATACCATACTTCTGGCATATGACTTATGCTTGAAGAATCCTGCAATTTGCATATAATCTAGGTGAAAGAAATTTAGTTGAAACACCAACTCCAACTATTCATGAATGTTTAAAAAAAAAAGACAAAAAAAATTCCACCACCACTGCTTGGCACGTTTTTTCCAAATGTGTTTTCTTAGCTTAGGTTGTTATAATTGAGATAGTACTTGGCAGACAGCAACTCTGTGTTCTGTAATAAACATACTTTGGATATGGCATTTCAGGGCAATTGGATTACTAAAAAACTTTTTATAAAGGTAAATGTATCATCAATTTATATCAAGGATCATGTTATTACAATAAAGTAAGGCACTGTCCAGGAAATCTAAGACATATTTCATATCACTTTAGTATGTCAGCATTATCAACCTATCCACAAAGACCAGTAACATTTTCATTATCATCTACATTTAAACTTCTTTAAGGTTTCAAGTGCCCTTATGTTCAGTACCTGAAAACATGCAATTTAGTCCCACAGAGTAACTCCAAAAATCACATCAAGGAAGTTCTTCAATGGTTTATCTCAATGACTTCCAGATTAAATCTGCTCTTCTATAAACACAGAAAAGGCCTTTCTGTAAGTGCCTATTTAGATCTTTTCAATGCAGGAACACAGGACCATGCAACTTTTAAAACAGTTATTAACTCTGCTGATGACACATATACTGAAATCCATGCTGAGACCCTTAATATCAGAAGAATAAACCATATTTAAGAACTAAAATAAGATTATGGAGCACACAAAAGGAATAGTTTTGTTTCTGAAAGTATCTACCTTTTACCCCCTCACCTTTCATTTGGGCTTCATTAAATTCCCAATTACCAGTGCAAGAACGTGCAGTATCAGTGCAATAAGTGCACAAATGCCAGAATGCCAAGGTAAGGAAGAGGCAGACATTATAAATCTGTTCACTGTAGTGTTCCAGACTGGTGCTAAAATAAGAGTTATGAGCTACATTCATTTCCAGTAAATATAAGATTATCTATAGTCAGCTCAGGCCTTCTTTAGTCATCATCTACTTGGGAAGAAATTATAGGTTCTGTAGAACAGCATTCACTTTTCTCAATGTTAGAAAGCAAAAGTGAACAAACTCTGGCCCTTCTCCAGTTCAGGTCAAGGAGAGTTACGTGTGTGAATTCCTGAGGGTGACATCTATCCAGCCCAATACAGCTGCACTTACCCACCCTGTAAGCTCCCAGATCAAAGGCTCAAGCCTTTGGATAAAGAAAGGTTCCACAATAAAATATTCTTCCAAAAAGAAGTTGAGTGCACAAACTTACCATCTCTCCTTGTAACAAAAGCTGTTGTCCATAAAGTTTGCTAGAAGACAGGATCCACATCAGAGAGCAACAGAAACTTAAGGTGACATTTCAGGCCTGTGCATCTTGAATAGTTTCAGTTATGACTGGACAAGTGTTCTCCACGCCTTCTAGTACAGGGAAACAAAGAAGAGCAAAAGAAACCCTGAAGTCCTCCAGAACCTCTGCATTTCCACTTAGCTTTCCATTCAAGTATTTCTACCCTTGGTTATTGGTACTAAACAAACCCACAGACGCACTGCCTATTAACAAAACAGCAGCAGTCAAGAAAATTAAACTGATCTAGACATCATTGCTATATTGAACAAATGGATTCTTCCCTCAAACGACAAGAGCAGACAGAAGAGCAACAGCTGTGTGATGACACAGACCTTCAGCTGGGAAGGCAAATGGGCAGGCCTTGGTAGTTGTGTAAATTCTGTGGTTTGGTCTTGGAGGTTGTGGCTTTAGCCCCAAGTCCCAATTCCTTACCACAAACCACCAGAGACCTCTCTGAGTAAATGCAAGGTCAGCTCTTTCTCAGCGAGGCTCCGTCAGATTTAAGTATCACCCATGCAGAAGGCCTGCAGCTGGAGCATCCTGACATGGCATGGCTGTTCAGCACAGCAGTACATGGGCATGAATCAGCTGGAGTGGGGGATAGCTGAGACCTGTTCAGCTTGACAACAGGAGACAATCCTTGAGCACCTTCCATCCCTTCAGGCTGCCTGCTTTGTTGGACAGCTCTCAGGAACACAACTCTGCTGCCTCCTCTGAATCAGACACAGAAGACTGCAGATTACTTAATGCTGCCTGTATCCCAGGAGCATCCTGGGGAACTTAATCACAGTCCTTAACCATGCTCCACTAGGCACTTTGCAGGCACTAGGTAAAAAACAGCCTCTGCATGTCAGGGCTCCTCCAGGGAAGGTCTGTCCACCTGCAGCAGTACCTGCAGAGCAGCAGCTTTTGAACCACTCCACGGTCTAGGATGTCATTCCCAACATCCAAACCTAGCTAACTCAGCCTGTTACAGCCACTCTGTTTCTGAACTCCAGGAATGAGGCAAACCTGCAGGAGCATCAGTGGTCAGAGCCACCCAGGCTCTCCAGCTGACACTGCATATAGATGAAAGCCACGCATGGGGCAGCCCCTGCTTTTTTGGTGCAGATGTACACAGAGAAAGGAGTGAGGGCAGAGCTGAGACAGTGGGAAGCTTGAAGAGAAGGAGGGCGTCTGTTACTTGAAATCATTCTAAAGCACATTACAAATCTGTTAAATCATTGTGGCTTACCCTGTATTTCAGAGTAAATTAGTAACTTTTCAGAGGGAGTGAAGAAACTACCACTCCACTTTTAAATAATGAAAATGCTAAAAAACCTACACTTAACAGCTCTAAAACTGCAGCAAGTCACCCACCAACACCCACTCCTCTTGTCAGCAGGCTTTTTTCAGCTTTGCCTATTATTTGTGTCAAGTCAGAGATGTCTAATGCTTGCTGTGCTTATCTCCTCAACTTTTAGAAGCCCCACATGTACCTGTGCCACTGACCTCTTTCTCCACAGTATTTTGATCTAAATAAGTAACAAACACAGAGTTTCCAAAATCATTTGGATTCACTGGCTCTGAGTGCATAGCTGTAAAAAATCTGCTTTAAGATTAACATCCAATTTTATTCATGCCTGAGGCTTCACCACAGCATCTATTTTTGTAAGATTAACAGCAAGATCCCAGTTCTCCAGAAATGTAGAGTAACAGACAATTGTAAAAGGAAGATGATGTTTCCTAACCTGCCCTGCTCACATCCAAGAAAGTACATTTCTCCAGCCCTTTCCATGGTGGGTGCAATTTCTATTTGCATTTTTGCACCCACAACATGCAGCATGTGCATTAGTCTTTCTGCCTCCCATTAGCTGAAATGCAAACTGTGGGTGCCAAAAAATACTAGCACAAATCTCACATGTGCAAAGTGTCCCCTGAAAGACAGCTTTTACTCTGGAGGAGTTAAGAAGCAGACGTCTTCCTGTACCTTGCACAACAGCATTTTGAATCATCTAACTTGAAAATACAAGTGTAGAAAATGAGCACTTGGTATTTTGGTTAATCCATTAGACATGAATATACACGAAAACACTTCTTTTTGAACATGGCAACTTGAGGACAAATTGAGGGTCATTTCTAACCTAAACACCAGAAGAAATGTCGCTTTAAGTAGTGCCTTTGGTATCTGTCAATTAGAGCTATTGCATTGCTGTCAACTTGCACTCCTGCTTTAGTTCCAGCTTTGCTCCATCCTACACAGATCCGTACAAATCGTCTCTTGCAAACATGCACTAACCACTGGAAGGGGAAATTAATAAAGTGCGAGAAAAGCTGATTCATAAAGCTGACACTCCTGTGCCCAACAACTCTGGTTTCTCCCCTCCAGCAAGCAGTTCGAGATAGGCAGGCAAAGTGGTAAAAGATTATCAAATTGCAACTGTCATTCCTGACAAAATGCATCTCAATGCTGGAAGGAATTTTAGGTTTTAAGCTAAACCACCACCTCAAAGGGTTCCTCAGAGCCTGTCAATATCTGTACCTTGGATGGAAAGCTACCACCGAGCACAGTGTGTCCAACATATCGGACCTGCCACAAAATGAAGTTCTTCATAAGAAAGCTCATCTCAGTCTTGGTTGGTAACAATAACAAGGAGACAAGATGAGACCATCAGTCTCAATTGTGAAGACAATGTTTTCCTCCCATATTATTCTGTCTGTCATGTTCCCTTCAGGTTCCAAAGGAATCCCTGTCTCATACATCATTATTTCCCACAAAGCTTGAAAGCCTTCAGGGGGGGTTTCTTCCTGCCCACTGTACCAGCCTTGATGTCTGAGTACCTTCAGAATAGTGACAGAGGCCTCTGCTAGCAATAAAGGGGAACATCTGCATACCAATTAAACTGCTGAGCGCTGAAGAGTAAAAAAAAAAAAAAAAAAAAGAGGGGGGAAAGCCTTGAAAGTAAATCTGAGCCAAGTTCTAATTAATGCCCTAGGCCCCGATTCACCACAGCACTTAGGCATGTAGTTAACTTTAAGCATGTATTTAGTTCCATTGAAGTCAAAAGACAGCATCGAAGAGGCAAACTACATTAGCACAATTTAATACTCTTTGGGCTAATTAATCAGCCATAAAAATTAACTATGAGAACTGTATTCCTTATTTCCCTCACTGTGACATTTCCAGATAAAAATACTTAGATGTGGCTGGAATAAGCAAAACAGCACTACCTCGCTTGGCTGTCATGGGCTGCTCGGTCCTACAGCAGGGAAGGCCAGTCCCTAGGAGCAGCTAAAGGAACTGAGCTCTCTGCATACCACAACCTAGTGTCTGTACCTTCTATGTGGTGGCAGCAAATAGGTGAATTGTCCCAGACACATCAAACCCTCTTCTCCACTTGGTAAGCCCAGCATGGTGAATGGCTGTCAACACTGCACCAAAAACATGCAGGCTAGATTTGGCCTGAACACAGTCTCCAAGGCCCAAATAGGACCAGTTTTTGAGCTCCTGTTGACTTCAAAAAGGCATATGTCCAACCAACCATTCTGTAAATCAGAATGCAAGGAGACAAGCTGGCTGATAAGGGTGTTCTTGCTAGGATTGCTGCAAAAACAAAGCTGTGGAAAGTTTGGCGAGTATCATTAATGCTGTACAGGGACCTATAAAAGCTAGAAAAATGAAAGCAGGGGATATAAACTCCTCTCTGAAAATACTCCTTTATCTCATCTGTCATGAAAACAAAAAAGAACAAAAACAATCCCCCCAAAAATTAGAACACCATGAGCATAAAAGAAAGTACCAGCACAGCTTTTCAGATTAACTTTGAATTTCCTTGCTTTCATTGATTTGAGAGCTCTGTTGTTACTCCCTTGTTTTTTTAATTGCAGATATTAAAATTCTTTTATCTTTCAAAGACTTTAAAGTATGTTATATAAATACGTAATTAAAGCCTCTTCCAACTGGGTATAATTTACTCTATAGTTTACAACAGCTGCACTACAGCTATTACAGTTTATCATTTAAAAGCCTAATTAGGGACTTCTTAATTAGTGGATCCTTCAGTCACTAGACTGTGACTGTGTAAAATACACAGCCATCGCATGTTACAAATCCGCATGGAATATTTGCGTGAAAACAGGGTGTGTACAAGTCCAAAAAGACACTGCTGGTCCCTGCAGGTCAGCCCACGTGAGCGTGCAAAGCTCCACACTGCACCTACACTCCCCTCTCCCAGCTGCTCTGCACACAGCCTTTACCTCCTGCACGTGTTGCTGGGAACCACCAGCACCTCCTAAACCAAGCCCCCAGCCTGGCTGAGCTGACCTGCTATGATGGAGCACTCTGAGGTGACCATTCCCAGATTCTGACACAACCCAAGGAGAGGATGGGGCCGTGCCCACCACCTGCTCAGGCTGGCTCTCCTGCGGCTCACCAAACGTTTTCTCCAGCAAACATAGCTCCTCGCTGCTGCCCTCTCTCTCTCAGGAGCTCTGCTCCATGCTGGATTCTGCGGGCACTTCCTCTGTGCTGCCCAAAGTACTTGTATCACTAGAAGGAAGAGGAGGGGAGCCAGTTACTGCCTCTCATTTATAGACACCAGCACACATTTCTTGTCAATCACCACCAAATTAGCAGTCAGTCACAGAGACTTTAAGTGCAGTATTTCCCTGAGTAAGGACTGTAACTCCTCCATCCTTCCTCTGGGTGGCACGGTGCCGGAGGAGCTGGTGGAGCCATAGGGAGTCTGAACAGGAATCACTCCCCAGAACGAGCCTCATAACAACTGGGGGCTCAGAGGACCCACTGCTCAGCAAGCAAAGAGCTTGTCCAGACCATACTCTGGAGGACTGGTGGGGGGTTGTTAAGTTTTCACCCCCTCGTAACACAGCAGCAGTGTTACAGAGGGTCAGATTTGGGGCCTGCCAGCATTTGGGAGTGTTGCTTTAAACAGTACAGTGACAAAATCATGAGTTCTTGTTGACTGCAGGATAATATAAATCAGCTATTGAAAACCTGTATCATTAGTGCTATTGCTTTCCAGTGGTAGATGGCTGCAGTAATGGATTGGCCTCTCCATCTCATCCTCCCACT